AGAATTAGTATTTCTTTTTAATCAATGAGCTCTGAAAAAAAACCAAACCAAAATAATAGTGATAGCAGAGAGAGTCATGATTTGGATGGGATGGGAGTTAGAGCACCAGAGAATAAGAATCTTCCAAATTGGCTACAGAAGAAAGAAGTTTAGTTTAAGTTTGTTCATTTAATAGGTTAAAGTTGATGTATATAGGTACTTAGAATAAGGAATAGTCATGAAAAAAAAAACTAAAAAAAAAAGAAATAAAGGAGCTGCAGAAGGTGCAGGTTGATAGGATGCATTAGGAAATGGGCAATGCAAATTACGTTACTCTACGGGGAAAGAGAAACAAATACAACACACAGAAACATAGAGAAACCAATTTTTCCTATAGGGAATATTCCATGCCTTCCACAGTATGGTCCCAAATAGAAAATGCATCATAATGAATATCAATTGCAAAGTAAAAGACAAGGAAGGGCTTACAGTAAAGTTCAAAGTCTAAAGGTGTTTTGTGGTTGAGAGGGAAAGAAATGTTCATTCTTGGCAAAAAAAATGAAGTAAAGAATTCTTCATTTTTATATATAAGGTGGACTCTCGCCTGCTTAAAAATCCATTTGTTCCTCCTTAAAGCCGGGACTACACCAATCAGAGCCAGACGGCCGCTGTACTGGAAATATTTTTTTTCTTCTTTCTCTCCTCCTCTCTCGAAGTGTAGGGTCGATCAATCGTTTTAGGAAAATTCTCCATTTCTGCGTCTCACATACATCGATTTGGTCAAGGTGCTTTGCAATCCTCCACTGAGTTCAATAAATGAACCCATTCAAATAGGGACGGGGGGGGGGAGGAAAAAGGCCACTATTTTCTCAGGTGGTCGGAGGTGTTTTTACAACGAGGGGTGGTGAGGAGGGGTGCCGGGCAAGGGCGCGGCGGGAGCCCCGACGGGACGGGACATCCTCAAAGGGACCTCTCGGGCACGAACCTCTCGGTTCCTCAGCGAGACCCCGGTTCTCCGCGATGCCCGCAGCCCGGCCCCACTGCAGAGTTCCCTGCACGGCCGACCCTGTGTGATGGAGTGGTGGCGGCCAAGCATCCAGAGGGCTACGGCCACCGCGCCCCCACTTCGCCCGGCTTCAGGGGCTCTCGGGACACGGGATTCCCAGGATCCTCACTCTCCTACCCCGTTTCACATGAGCTGCAAGCAAGCACGGGCGTCGGGGAGTGAGCTGGAAAGCGCGTTGTACGCTATGTGCAAACAAGCAGAGATTTTTTAAATTATTTTTTCTTTATACCCTTGGAAACTTGAAAATTCATTTAAACGGGCAGAGAAGCCAAAGTGTTTCTACGGATTTATCTGAAGGGACGAGGTGGTCGGGCAGCCATATGCTTCCACCGAGGTCCAACATGGACTCAGCCCGTGAGCCCACAGAGACGAGCTGCTATAGCTCCCCACCACATCGGCGGGTGGAGCACATGAGCATCCTGGATACTTTTGGCATCCCTGGAGAAACGCCTGCCCCGTCTTGTCCCCGTGGATGCCGTCAGGGAAGAGGTGACTATCGGTGGGATGCCGGGGACACCACGTCCTAGCGGCCTGTGCAGCGGGGTGACCGGCAAACCCACCCCGCGGTCAAAGGATGCCGTCCCCAGGGGAACCGCAGGTCCAGGGTCCAGGGGAGGGAGAGTGCCCCCCCGGCCCCACGCAGAAGTGTGGCGGGACAGGATGAAGTCTGAACCGGCAAACCACGAAAGGAGGTCGGGTAGCCAGAGCTGAAAAGTATCCACGTCAGTCCCAAGCAAAACAAGAGATGAAACATTTCAGGTTATTACGTTCTCCCTTTGAAGCGAACCATTTCCCGCAGATAAGACTGTGTAGGTATATTTAGACAGCTCGGCTCGTCCAAGGGGAATGTGTCTTGCGCTATTTGAGAAAAACTCTAAGAGTAAGTGCAAATATTTGATGCTGAAGAGCTCTTAAGGCTAGAAGAGTACCATTTACTTATTTCTACACATCAGTGTGGGCTTAGGATGTTAAATAGATTAAAAGGCTAAGAGAGGTCACTGAAGTAGACTCTCTTTCTCTCATCCTGACTTTTTTCCTTGCAAAGTTTTTGTACTTTGCTTAGAATGTCCTTGGCAAACTCCTCTTAAGAGCCACCTCAGATACTGTATAAGTTTGTGGCGCTCTGAACTCCGGCCCCCTCCCCTCTGCTAGTCGACCCCCCCGAAACTACGCTCCAGCGCAGGCATCCAGCAAATATTTGCCTGCGGGGTCAAGATATTAATAAGCACTTCTCGGCCGCCTTTTATACCCGGGGTGCTCGGGAGCGCGGGGCAGTGGCGGCGCTGCCAACCGGGCCGGGGCAGGTGAGCGTGGGCCGTACCTGGCGGGTGGGGGGCCGGGCCGGCGCCAACTGCGCCCCTCCCTGCCGGCCGGGCTGCCCCGGTGGTGACACGGGCAGTGGAGGCCGACGGGACATAGGGGCGGCCGCGGGAGTAGCCGCTCCGCCGAGGACGGACACGTCGTTTCAATTTAATCTCATTTAAAAAGACGTAACTAATAAATTTGTATGGACGGGGCTGCCGGAGACGTAAAGCAGAGTCGATAGTGGTTCAATCCCATTGAACCCTATTGAAAACCATGACAACAAGGAACAAGCTCCGATTTATCCCGGAGAGTTAAAGCACATTGTGGGAAGGCGTCAATCACCTATTATTCCAGATCTGAACAAATGCAAAATCTTGACTGGAACAAATGCTTCCAACAGGTCCGGGACATAGGGCTACATTTCCCTTTTGTTCACGGCCTAGCAGTTGGCATGTATTTGTGCTCCCCTCGCTCCGACCACCCAGGATGGCTGTGAGGCTGTGCTCGGAGCGGGGAGATAACTACTGTCACCAAGCACGCTTGATAGGTGGCTGCAGTAATCGCGGCCTGGGAATCGTTTATATGGAGCCTGTCGAGTCCCGAAGAAATATGCGGGAAGTTGGCCAAATGGAGCCTTGTGCCCCGTTGATCTCGCCCACAAATCTCGCCGAAATAAATCTCACCTCTCCCTTGTCGCTATCGCTCTAATGACATTTTCGCCGAGAAGTGTAACTGCTCCCAGAAGCGACACCCGGAGCAGGGCGGGGAGGGGAGGTAGCGGCCGGGGGCAGGCGGGCAGCGGGTCTAGGGGGCGAGAGAGGGACTGGATAAATATAATCTATACACAATAGCTTATAGACGCTTGTTTGGACAGGCAGATTCGAACCGACAAAGCGGCCGGATAGAAAAGTATCTCTGCGTGTATCTGGATTCCTGTTTCAAGGCGCTCAGTGCAGGGTTCGCGCCATCTCCCCGTCGGGGGTGAGCTGTGTGCGCCTCGACCCGCGTTTAAAGGAGGGCTGATCTGTTGGGTGCCTACTGCCCTCCAGACTTTGCTCCATCCAGCTGGACTCGCGTCCCACTGGTTTTCTAGCTGGGCGCTGGGTACCTCCCGCGAAGCCGGCGGGAAGCTCTGGGGAAGGCCTCTGCGGCGTGAGAGTGGGGAGCGTGTCCCACCTCCTCCCCCTCCGGCCCCACGGCTTGACCCACGCTGCGGGATCTGCGTGAAGATCGCCCCTATTGGTCACTTCTGCCCCTGCCCTGCGGCTGGGGACCGAGCACTGACATTGCGGGTTTGAATTTGAACGCCACACCGGGCTGCATGTTTCTGTATCGTATTTTATTGTAAGTCCTCGCAAAGACTGACCGCAGCTTCGCGGGGGGATGGGGACATCCGTTGAAAGGCTGCGAGGTGGCGAAGGCTGCGAGGAGGCTCTTGTCCCCGGGAGCTGCCGTCGGTCGTCCCCGGACCGTGCCGAGCCAGTGTCAGCACCCTCCTCCTGCGGGGCGCCGGTATCCAGGATCGTTTGCTGCCACTTTTGGCAGATGAAACGGCGATCGGCAGGGACGGGAGACGCGCAGATAAATGGGCACGCCGTGTTTGATCTTTTCTCCCTCTTCCCAGCTGGAATCGTTTGAGTAACTCACATATCTAGCCCGATGGGATATTCCCTGGGTTAGTACAACACGAAATGATGTTAAAATAAAAGATCTCCCCTACTCCACGTCCCTACTCTTGCTTATGGACAGACTGTGCCAAGCTCCCGTCATCACCCTTCCTGAGAGAAAGGTGCACCTTCCATCTACCATGCCCAGGAGAGGGAAAAAAAAAAAAAAACCGACAAAAAAACAAACCAAAGAAACCAACCCAGAGGTCCCATTCCTCAATGCACACATCCGCCAGCCCTCCTCGCCGAAAGCGCAGCCGAGGTGTGAAAAATGCCCCGTTGAGGGTAGGAAACATGCCAATAACATGAGAGAGAACTAGAGGTAGCACTGCAAACAGCCCAGGGAAATAAAACAAATAACGACTTAAATTCCTTCCAGGTTTAAAGAAAGAGGGGAGAGGGGGGGAAATAAAGAGAGAGAAGCGGGAAGGGGGCTCTCGGCAGGCTCTGCGGATGTCCTGAGAGGATTCACTTTGTCTGCGGATAGAAGGGACGCTGGTGGCTTTGGTGGCGGATGGAGGGGGGTGGTTGTTGGTCATCCACATGCCACCCAAGATGTTATTCACTGCTAACAATTACCATTATCTGTCCCCACTTTTGGCTAATCAGACAGAATATGTAATGATGAAGCCTGTTTCCTGCTGTCTTTGGGAGGTAACGGGTTATTCTCTCATGGGGGTGGCAGAAGAGGGGGGTTACACCTACTCCCATTAGGGCTTTAGCACTTGACTAATTCAGGTACTTAGCATCCTATAGACAGGGACGGTTTGAAAGCAGGCAGTGTTTGCAGTGGGGAGGACTGTTTATATAAACAGGACACCTCTGTAAACGACACTAATATTTGGGGTTAGGTGGCGATGGAAAGGAAGGTCCTTTAGAGCCGGGAGATTCCGCAGTAACCAGGCGCGGACCTTTCCTAGCAGCTTTTAAGAAAGGGGGTTCGGTTTGGGGTGATATTTCTTGGGGGGTGTGCACAACCTACCATGGCCACATCCGGCAGGATCAGTTTTACAGTGAGGAGCATTTTGGATTTACCAGAGCAAGATGCTAATAGCATAAAGCAAGACTCTGAGCATCACCACTCAGCGGAGAACTACACCGGCTCGCCGTACCGAGGGTGGATAGAAACAGACAGAAATCATTATCCTTGTGAGTATGAAACGGACAGGAATTTGCCATCTCCGCATGGTTATTTGTTAATTGTTTTCCCGTTTCCTTTGGGGAAGATGCGAAGAAGTGAATTGCCAATGTAAGTAGCCTACAGGATCAGGGGGATCGAGGCTGGGAATATTATAGAACATTACTGACTTGCAACAATAAAACAGCAGAAACGTCCCGGCCACGAGCTTAAGAGAGAAAAGATATTTTTTCTGTGAGTCTGTGTATGCCCCCAGTTCTGACAGAAAGCAAAATTTCAGACTGTATTCACCAGTCTCTCTGTGTTTATCGTTTAAGTCCACTTCCTGGATTATTTTTTTCCCCCGTTTCACTGTTGCAAGAAATCCTGCCTTTTTTGTGCTGGAGGGGTTTCAGGTCAGCCCACGCTCCGCAGAGGAAAGCTGAGTGCACACTCCGTGCGTGGACTCCCAGCACGGCGGCGGAGTGCCCCGGGCGCCACCGCCTAGATCCACGCACTTTCCACCGTAGAGGGCAGGCTGCGGTTCGCAAACCCAGATGTGTAGCATATTGATCGCACCTCGCACACGTAAATTGTGCCGCAGATATACGGCGTTTATCGTCTACCTCTGTGTGCATCATCAAAAGGAAATCATCCTTTGAATGGGTGCGGGAACCCCATCGGGAAAAGTTAAATATTAAGGTAATCGCCCGGAGGGAGAAAAGTAGTTATAAAAGGACCGGGCAGCCCCATATTCTGCTTCAGCACGGAGGCAACACGACGGCTAGCAGTCCGCAAGCCCTTAGGCTGTGCGCGGCGGAGCGCTTATGCCCCTGCGGGGATTACTGGTAGGGACACAACGCTGTCTGTCCCGTGGGCTAGGTTTAATGTATTTGGAGGGGTTGGCTCACATCTCTTGTTGACTACTGGGATTAATCCGGCCCGGTAAACAACCAGAGCTCTCCCTGCTAGAGGCGTTTCGGCTCTCAGCGGCCCATCGCTACCTCAATGCCTGCCCCTCTCCCCGGGCCCGACTGCCCCCTCTCTCTAACCCTCTCGCTGTCCCCAGCTTCCGACGAGAGCGGTCCGGAGATGAGCTTGCCTGACTCCACCCAAAGGTCGCTTCCCGTCCGCGGCTCGGAGGCCGAGGAGAAGAAGAAGAAGCGGCGGGTGCTCTTCTCCAAGGCGCAGACGCTGGAGCTGGAGCGGCGGTTCCGGCAGCAACGGTACCTCTCGGCTCCGGAGCGGGAGCAACTGGCCCGGCTGCTCAGCCTCACCCCCACGCAGGTGAAGATCTGGTTCCAGAACCACCGCTACAAGATGAAGCGGGCGCGCAGCGAAGGTCCCGGCAGTCCCCCGCCGCGCCCGCCCGCCCTGCTGCGCCGGGTGGTGGTACCGGTGCTGGTGCGGGACGGGGAGCCCTGCCGCGGCTGCCCCGCCAGCCCACCGCCCCCACCCCACGGCCCAAGCTGGGCTGCGCCCTGGCGGGATGCAGCGCCCAGGCCGCCCTCGCCCTGCAGGGTTACGGAGCCTGCCCGCCCGCTGCCGCCTCGGCGTCTTCCCCGCGTACCAGCACTTAGCGCACCCGCCGTCGTCTCCTGGGGATGGTGACAGCGGCGCTTCGCCCTCTGGGACCGGACTCATCCACGGGCGCGGGGCGGCCCGCTCCAGACCCAGGCTCTAGCGCGGGGAAGCGCCGAGGCGCGCCGGGGCACCGCGGGGGCCGCGCTCGGGCGGGCCGGGCGGCGGAGCGCGGCTCCGGGGCAGTGGCCCGCGGGCCGGAACGAAGCTGGCCCAGGCCATGCTCCCCTTCTCCGGTCTCGCCCGAGGGCGCGGATGCCGCGTGAGGCGCGAATTTTGTAAAACCTCCGCTCCTCCTGCTCCTTTTCGAGAGATTCCTAGTTACAAAATAATGATCATCCTAGTGACATAGTCTGTTTTAAAATAGCTGACTCTTCCAGCGACTAATAAAACTGGTTTTGGCAATTAATTTTTTCTCTACAGAGAAGAGTAGTTTTGACGATTGGGACTGTTTCGTAGGATTACCTCCTGTGCTATGAAAGCTTAAATATTGTCTTGATTGCGCCAGCCGAATTTAACTTTCAAGTTCGTTTATTTTATCTACATGCGACGGTAAAGGGCGAATAAAGTTTGCTGTAAGCATCCCACTGTAAACTTGGTGATAATTCCTACGGGAAGCGTGAGCCCAGCGTCTCCCCGATTTAGCGGCTCTAAAAAAAGACATTGCCGCTTAAAACGCAAAGGCAGCATCCAGAATTGAGCCAATCTTTACGTTAGCCTGTAACCGTTCCAAATATCGACTGTAGCCAAGAGAATTATTCTTTGAAACTCTTTGATGAACTATCGATTTTATTACTTCGGGGTGAAAATAATAAGATAATTGTCCTGGCAACCACCAAGGGGAAAAACCCTAAAAAAAGTCCCACAAAGCCAAACCCAGGTCTCTCGGACGGGACCCTCTCAGAGGGAATATTTGGGGCGAAGACCCCGCGGGGTCTGATGCAGACAACCTGCCTGCAGAGGAAAGGCTGTCGAGGGAAAGAGACCCGCAGAAGATATTTGGGTGGATTTTTTTTATATTTATTTTTTATTTTATTTCCTGGAAGGAGGTGACTTCGGGCGAGATGTGCCCCTGGGATGCGCCGTGCTGTCTACACATGCCGGAGAGCCCGCGGGGAGCAAGACTGCGAGACGCCGCCGTCGCGCAGGGAGAGGCGGCCAAAAGCACACGCGGACATACGGGTTCCCATACGTGCTTTTGGCCGCCTCCCCTGTCGCGACGGTGGCAGCAATAGGACCCCTTTAGCGTCCCAGCCTAACCTTCCCCAGGGGGCCGCGCCCCCTCCAGGTGGGGCCCCTCTAGCCTCAGTGCGGGGGGATCAGACCCAGCTGCAGTGCAGGGCGGGCCGGGGAGAATCCAGGGACGCCGGTCCTCCCACCTGCGTCTCCTTCCGTGCTTGGACAGGGGGCCGTGTGCCAAGAGGGAGGCGCAGAGCGGCCCAACTCTCTGGGATGTGCGGGAAGGACCTGGAGAAACACAGCTTCTGCATCACCTGGGTTTGGTTTTATTGGTTGGTTGGTTGGAGGGTTTTGATTTTTGTTGTTATCTTTCCCTTTATTTTTCCTCCTGTTATCCGAAATCTTTTTTTTTCTTTCCGTCTCAGCTGCTGGCCACCTTGTCTCCCATATGGATGGGGTTATCTTAGAAGAATCTCCCAGAGAATCGCTCCTTAAACCTCCTTTTGTCTTGGGGGTTGAAAAGGGCATTGTTGTGCATGAAAAGGACCTAGACAAAATCCGCACTGTTTCAATTCAAGACTGTTTAATCAGTCCCTAGCGACAATTTTATGGGTTTTAGGCGGTACAATAGCATCTTTTAAAACCTTGTGGCCTTCATGAAAACAAAGGACTTGAATTTTATGGGTTTACAACTCCAATTAGAACAGTGCCAATGTGTATGGGAGATTATCAAATTTGTATCATAAAACCCCTTTATAATAAATAATTACTGGAAACTGGGGAGGGGCGGGGGGGGGGGAGAGAAGGGACCCGGACTTCAAGCAATGAACTTTGTTGCATGTAGTTTTAAAAATACAGATTCTGCCCTCCATTTTAACTCTTTGCGATCCAGTATGCAGCTGGATGATCTATGAAAATAGCGTGATATCGTTATTAAAAGAGGGGGAAAAAAAGACAACAAGAGAAGTCCGCTCCTCCTCAGCACAAATCTACCCTCGGTCAGCTTGCCGAGTGTTTGCAGCATCCGTTCGGAAGGGTATCTCCCTGCCTCTTTGCTTGTCTGGGCTGCTTTCCTGTCCGGGAACCCACACGTGGCCATAGGAAAGCTCTGTAAAATAGGAGGGCTTCACTGAATTACTGCTTTTATCAGTTACTGTTCGTCCTGACAATGACAGAGGATGTCCCTTCCCAGTCCCAGGCTGCAACGATTTCCTCTCGTCACCAGCTGCAATGTCGTCTGATGCGGGTTTCTTCACGGAAAATGTGCAGTTTTCACGGAAAAGTGAGCATTGCATCTTACCAAGCCCGGGAAAGGGAAAGGTGCGATTCCCGGGCACTGGCAAAGACTAAAGCGGTGCCCTTGCAGGCTGAGCAGAAGTCACTGCAGCAGCGGTGCAGAGAAGACGGTAGTCAGGTTCAAGCATGGAGAAAAGCAGCCCCCTTAATTTGATGCATCCAAGTAGAATGAAGAATGTATTAAATAATGAGACAATTAAATAGACTATGGAGATTTACAGTAAAGAGGAAGTCTTGTGAAGAAGATAGGGTGGGACTCAAAATATTATTTATTCCTGACAGAAACAAAGTAATCTGTCCAAATTTTTAGTGCATTTAGCAAGGAAAATAGTTCACCTTACCAACGGTTAAGGTGCATCTAGGAGATACTTCCTAAAGGTGTCATTAAAAAGATTTAGGGCAAAAGAAACTTAGTGTCTTTCAGTGTATTTTCTGTTACTTTGGCTTGTTTTTTAATAAGGCACGAATTTTCTGTTACTTTGGCTTGTTTTTTAATAAGGCACCTCAGCTGATGGTTTGGATTATTTTGTCTCCCCCTCAAAGAGGTGAATGTACAGTCCCTACCTTTTTCCACTGTGTCTCACCGTTACTTTTACCCTGAAAACAGGCCTATGATTTCAGTGAAACTAATGAATAAACATCCCATGATCAAAATCTAAATGCCATCTTCAGCTAATGAAAATTATTGCTAAGATCTTCAAACATCTTCCCGTGTGCTTTATTCTTAGTTGGTAAATAAACTATTGACTTTACAAAGGCCCAACCCTGTTTCAGTTGTAGCCCTTGGGCGCGTGTTTGTTAACTCAGAACTAAAGCATTAAAACAAATAACTAGATCACCTCCAAAAAATGGATAATAGTTCTGAAAGAGCATATGATCAAGCTTCTTTGTAATACTTTATGAATGAACTGTCTCCCAGCCAAAACACTCCCATCATTAGCCTTTGGATATACACACCATTCATTTTAAAAATTACAACAGACAAAAAACATCACCTCCCAAGCAGAACTCTGCCATGAACCGAATTATCCTGTCGCTGACTTAGGAAAGGCTCTTGGCAGCCTTGCAGTATGCCTATCTTGGCTAATGACCCATCTAGACTGTGTTTTTAACTAAGTGCAAGTCAGGTCTATGGAAACTCTTTGGACTTTTCAGCCCCTCCTGCCTCCTAGCTTTTGAAAGGAGTAAACCTTCCACCCTTGGTTAGAGCCCAGCTGATGCTGAAGGGGAACAGTGAGGTCACTTTGCTTTCAGAAACAGGTGGTGCCCAGCACTATATGTGGAGAAGCATAGACCTGGCTCTCCCTGTACTCAGTGACCTTCACAAGTCACAGTTCATTGTTGAAGATAGTGTCTTACTGGACCTGAATGCCTGATAACTGCTGCTTCTTGAGAAGATGGAAACAGCTAGGATACAAGGAATAGCAGTTTCTGAGCCTTAGTAATGGTACTCAACCTTTTATTCAGAAGCCTAAATAGCGCATTTTCCTTTTCCTCAGCTGGTGCTTCCAACCCCTGACCGCTGGACCAGTTCCATACATACTGGCCATCAGGTAGTGAGCTCTTTCCAGAATTCCTGCCATATCCAAAGAACTGCAAAACAAAGACTCCACCTACTTGACATAAAATAAAAAAAATAGGCAAAAAGTCAAGTGCCACCAGCATCAGCAATGGCAGGACCCCAGGTACCTCATGCAACTTTCAGGAGGCTTCTGATGCACTGTGCTGGTTTTGGCTGGGATAGAGTTAAGTTCCTCACAGTAGGTAGTATGGGACTGTGTTTCGGATTTGTGCCAAAAATGGTGTTGACAATATAGATTTTTTTTGTTGCTGTTATTGTTGAGCAGTTCTTGTACTACATCAAGGCATTTTGTGCTTTTCATACTGCCCCACCAGCAAGAAGGCTGAGGGTGCGCAAGCATCTGGGAGGAGGCACAGCTGGGACAGGTGACCCCAACTGACCAAATAGAATGTCATATGGCATCATGCTCAGTATATGAAGTTATGGGGAGAACAAGGAAGAGGAGATGTTTGGAGTTCTGGAGTTTGTCTTCCCAAGTAACTGTTACATGTGATGGATGGAGCCCTGCCGAACACCCACCTGCCCATGGAAGGTAGTGAATTAATTCCTTGGTTTGCTTTGTTTGCATGTATGGTTTTTGGTTTCCCAATTAAACTGTCTTTATCTCAACCCATGAGTTTTCTCACTTTTGTTTTTACAATTCGTCTCCCCCATCCCACTGGTGGAGGAGTGAGCAAGTGGCTTCATGGTCCTTAGCTGCTGGCTGGAGCTAAACCATGGCACTCATTTTAGTTAAAAGGGAACTTCCTGTGGGAAAGGAGTCAGTGGATGCACAGTTACCCATATCAGAGAAGTTGCTTTATGCTCCTCAAGCATAGAGCTCTGCTTAAGAAACGCTCAGGAGCAGAGTAGCTCAGATCAGCTGTAACATTATTATTGTAATTTTAAAAATTATACCACTACAAGATATAACAGGTGTAAGAGATCTTTGCCCACCACTAAGTATGGATTACTGAGCTATGAGATCAGGTTA